GATTGAGAAAATGCCTCCATAAATGTCCAGCTGTGAGGCATTTTCTTAATTAATGATTCAGATGAGGGAGGGCCCAGCCCATTGTGGGTGGTGCCATCCCCTAGGTTGGTGGTCCTGGGTTCTATAAGGAAGCAGGCTAAGCAAGCCATGGTGAGCAAGTCAATAAGCAGCATCCCTCATGGCCTCTGCATTAGCCTCCAAATTACTGCCCTATCTGAGTTCGTGTCTTGACTTCTTTCAGTGATGAACAGCAATGTGGACGTGTAAGCCACATGAACCCTTACTTCCCAGCTTGCTTTTGGTAATGGTGTTTTGTCACAATAGAAACCCTAACGAAGATAAGTTTGTTCCAGGGTCTGGGGTATTGCTGTGATAGGCCAGACCACGTTTTTGTTTGGAAGAATATGGACTGTGGGACTGTGCAGTAGGAAAAACAATTGAACATTTTAATGGGCCATCCTAGTAGGATCATGGAAGACAGTGGTGCTGACAGTGGCTTGAACTGTGGGGTCCTGGCTCAAAGGTTTCAGAAGAGAAAAAGAATATGTGGTTTTCGGGTTTTGCTCTCTCTCTCTCTCTCTCTCTCTCTCTCTCTCTCTNTCTCTCTCTCTCTCTCTCTCTCTCTCTCTCTCTCTCTCTCTCTCTCTCTCTCTCCCCCTCTCGTCATGCTCCCAGCCACCCAGGAGTGCTGCATTTATTAAACATGGACATCTTTGATTCTTCACCAAAGTAGTTTCCTTGGCTCTTACAATTTAAATTAACCCATTTCTTATTTACACTCTATCACCTGGTGGCAGCTTTTTCCATCTCAGCACATTCCTCCACATCTCCTGGTCACTCTGGTCTCCTTCTTTCCCATGTTTTCTTTTTGTCTGCAAGTCCCACCTAACCTCTACCTACTCACACATTGCCCATCCAGCCCCTCATTAGACCAGTAAAAGCAACAAATATCCACAGGGAACAAAAAGATTGTTCCACAGCAACACTGCTCAGCTTGCTCCTTTCCATTATAAATCTTCATTACAGTACCACTAATAATCACATCACAGAGTCTATATTGGGTTATTTTGAGATTTCCTCTGCCAAATAAATTACTAATATTCTTCTTCCTGAAACTTCTTCAGCCCCACAGCTCATCAAGTCATATTCAGCACCACCGTCTTCCATGCTCCTACTAGCTATACCCAGACCCTGGTACCAACTTTTGTCTTAGTTAAGGTTTTTATTGCTGTGAAGAGACACCATGACCACGGCAGCTCTTATAAGGAAGACATTTAATTGGGGTGACTCACAGTTTTAGAGGTTCATTCCATTATCATCATCATGGCAGGTAGCATAGCCATGTGCAGGCAGACACAACACTGGTGAAGTAGTTAAGGATGCTTCATCTTGCAGGCAACAGGAAGTTGACTGAGACACTACACCATATCCTGACCATAGGAAACCTCAAAACCTGCCCCCACAGTGACACATTTCCTCCAATAAGGACATACTCACTTCAACAAAGCCACACCTCCGAATAGGGCCACTTACTTTGGGGGACATTTTCTCTCAAACCACCACAGTTGGAGAGCTGAAGAAGTGTTTTGCCATCAGACAGGGAGATGCAGAGTTGAGAGTTTTCCCTGCTGGTTTTCAGTCTTGCTTTGGTCATTTCCTTATTTTGCTCTCTTTCCTCCCTTTTGGAACAGTAAAGTATATCCTGTGCCATTCTATATTCAAAGTATGTGATCTGCTTTTTGATTTTGATTTTACAGAAGATTACAATTAAGAGATTGCCATGAATTTCAGAAGAGACTTTGGACTTTTAAACAACATTGAGACTGTAATAGACTATGGTGACTTAAAGTTAGACTGAATGAAGTTTTGCATTATATAACTACATGCTTATGGGGACAAGTGAGTAGAATGTGGTCATTTGGATGAAAATGGCCCCATAGACTTATAGGGAGTAGCATTATTGTGACCTTGTTGGAGGAAGTGTCACTGGGGGTAGTAGGCTTTGAAGTTTCAGATGCACAAGCCGGGCCCAGTGTCACTCTCTTTTCCTGCCTGCTGATTCAGATGTAGAACTCTTGGCACCATGTCTGCCTGCGTGCCACCATGTCATGCCATGATGATAGTGGATTAAACCTCTGAATTATAAGACAGCTCCAATTAAATGTTTTCCTTTTTAAGAGTTACTGTGGTCATGGTGTTTCTTCACAGGAATAAAACCCTAAGACAAAGAGCTATTGTAAAAGCATTAAAAGCAATATCTGAAGAACTTTTAGATGTAGTTTTAGGTAATACCTAAGGGGTATCTTCAAAAAAATCTTGAAGAGAATCTTTAGGATATTGTTATCTATATATCCCAAGTAACATTTTAGTGCTACCAGCCAGTAATTATCAGTGTGGGATAAATAATCAAACTGAATTTTATTTAGTAGCACAATAATTTCTGTAGGCTCTTAAACTAGTAAATTGTTTAAGAAATGTGTCCTTCCATCATTATCAAGTCTATAATGTTTTGTAAGTAAGGCGTACAGATCACTGCAGAGAATTACAACATACCTAGATTTCTATACCATTACCATGCTGATATACAGTTACAGTAGGCGATGAGGAGGAAGGATACATAATTGGTGATGCATTAAGGGATTAATTCTCGGGTCACCACTTAAGCAGCAGCATTATTTGATAAACTAATAACTCACTCTACTTCCAGTGTTACGAGTTTAACTTTCAGATGACTCTAGACTGTGTGTCAAGATGACCTAAGACCAGCCAGCACAGATTCACACCAGTGATCTGATTTTAACCTAGTTACCTCTTTTAAGATCCTATCTCCTAATCCAGTTACATGTTGGGTTAGGATTTCAAAATATGAATGCTTAGGGGTAAATGGGGCAACACAGTTCAGCCCTTGTGTCAGTTAATCCTAGCACTGACACTGGGAGATCGCAGGACCATAGCACGTGGCAACTGATGTGGCAAATGCTTTTTTTCTGTCACTATTAGGCAAGAAAGCAAGAGCACATATTGTTAGAAATAAGTTCAGGCTCGCAAAGAAAGAGACCACCAACTGAAGAATCTGGACAAGGCAAAGTTTACTCTTGATCAAGAGGGTGTACTCTGGGGAGCAAACACCCCAAGACGGGAAGTAATTTGGTTTTTAGGTTAACTCAGCTGTGTCTTTTCCCTGTTGGCTGGGGTCCGGCCTCACAATCTTATTCAGCTGGCTAGTCTGAAAGGAATTGGCCCGCAGGAAATGAAGGGGGAAGGGGCTCACTGCAAGAAGAAAAGGGTCACTGCTCCAGGCCATTAATTTCCTAGGAATGAATCTTTGTGCAAACAAAGATTTCCTTGGTGGGAGGATTAAAACATTTTCATAAAAGTCTTACAGGGAGGAGGAGATAAAAAAATTTGAATTCCTTGTCCTAAACACAAGTTTTATAGTATTTGATAGTAAAGAGTCATAGTTGATATCTCTTACACATTTTTTACATTATTACTCTAAAGTTATGACCTAAATGAGAATACTCTTTCAAGGCAATAATAAGAAGTATGTGGCCCAGTGGTGGTGGCACATGCCTTTAATACCAGCACTTGGGAGGCAGAGGCAGGTGGATCTCAGTGAATTTGAGGCCAGCTTGGTCTACACAGTGAGTTCCAGGACAGCCAGAACTGTTACACAGAGAAACCCTGTCTCGAAAAGCAAACAAACAAAAAGTATGTGGCAAAACGACAAGAAACAAAAAGTACATTAAGAAGCCTTGTGGACACATTGAAATATGAGATTCCTATACTAGCAAAATGACGATAGGATACCTGACCTCTGTCAATCAGTTCGTACATTAGTACTAAGACTGAGGAAATTAATACTTCTTTTAAAAAAAAATGAAGCAGGGCTGGACAGATGGCTCAGAGGTTAAGAGCTCTGGCTGCTCTTCCAAAGGTCCTGAGTTCAATTCCCAGCAACCACATGGTGGCTCACAACCAACTGTAATGAGATCTGGTGCCCTCTCTGGTGTCCAGGCAAACAAGCAGACAGAATATTGTATACATAATAAATAAATCTTTTAAAAAATGAAAAAAATTGACAGACACCTTCTGTGTTGGAATCCTGTGAGTATAACGGGATGTATTATTGATCATAAATATTCAATATCATTCCCTAAGGAATGAATAGATTCTTCCGTTTTGAGCAGACAGGGCAGACTACATTAAGGTGGTCAGCGTGCACCAAGATAGCAGATCAGCCTACGTTCCAGCTCAGAGTCAAGAACATGAACCACCACTATGCAGATAAAGCTGGCCTCACTCTCCTGTGTCACCAAACCCCCTCCTTCAAAAAAACCAATTACATTTTTTTTAAGTCTAATTTGGGGAGATCCACCCACTGAACAACCAACATGATACTCGACCTTTAACAATGCAAAGAGTCAAGGAAAACGCGTAGGTTACCGCTGTATACCCACTCTCCAGCCAGCCCTAGCAACCCAGCACGCCGTGCCCCCGACAGCAGGACAGCTTGCCAAGGGGTCCTCTGACCCGAGGGACACGCCTCCACAGGGCAGTGATGGCACTAACGTCCAAAAGCGGAGATCAGGGCCTGAACTTGCAGAGATAATTTGAAAAGTTTTCTGTAATTAAAAGAGAGTGACACAGTGATACCCCGTCTCATAATAAAAAAAAATGCCCATCAAGCTGTTTCATGCCCTTAATCCCAGTACTCAAGAGAGCAGAGGCAGGAGGATCTCCGTGAGTTCCAGGCCAACCAGCACTACACAGACCCTGATCCTGTCTTTAAAAATAGAAATGTTTTGGGAGCACGGAGAAGGCTATTAACGGAGTGAAGTTACCCCACGCGGGTAGGTCAAGCGGCTCCCCGGGAAAGACACCACAGAGCCACCCCATGGCACCTCACCCAGGCCTCGGGAACGCCCCTTGACGCCCATGGGCGGGGCAGAGGGAGAAACCGGCGGCGGCGCGCAAGATCTCCGCTGTAGCTCTCGCGATATTTCGAAGCCAAGCTCGCACGCGGTGTCTGAGAGATTCAAGCCGGGGCTGGGAGGGCGAGCCGGTGCGGGAGGGAGACGCCCTTTTTTCTGCCGTCGGAAGCCAGCGAGGGAGGGTGGTACCCACTCCCCCAGTCCAGTGTCCTGATGCCCAGCGTCAACGCCAGCCGCAAGGGTCAGGAGAAGCCGCGGGAGATCGTGGACGCGGTGGAAGTGGGTTTCCTTCTTCCCCGGGTCGGGGCTCGCGCCGAGGGAGGGAGTGGGGCGGTCGGGGCGCTCTCTACCTTGGGAGCCCCCACCGCACTTTACCTGCAGGCCGCGGCGTGGAGTGGTGCGCCACACGCCTGGGCGCGCGGCCCGAGCAGCCTGGGACTGTTTTTCTTGAGAACCGTGGCCTAGAAGTGTGTTCCTGGGGAGGCGGCGGGGGATGGGGACGGGTTAACATGTGGCGCCCAGTGAACCGGAAGTAGCCCCAGCGGGGCTCACATGAGCACGTCCTGCACGTAACACACCACTCCAGTCCCCGGAAATTTTTGATAAAGCACCTCTAATCGATATCCTCTCAACCCTCATAATGTTCTGACAAGTAATGACAGCCCTTTGCAAAACTGGCTGCCAGTGTATTTAAATGACTTTTCCTTGTGACAGCTGTGAACACGTTATCTTAATTTCCTTTCTCAGCGACCTGGTGATAACCCTCAGTGATCTTTAGCACTTTCCAGAAATCAGAGTTTGAAACCCTCCTTCAAGTACAAATTTTTAAACCTTAGTCTTTGGCTCCTAAATTTTTTTTGGTGGATGAATTCAACATTTGTGGTAACTACATCATAATTCGGAATATCAAGTTAATATTTGATTCTGATGAAATGTGAATACTGATTAGATAACACTCTACTCGCCTTTGTTCACACACTGCCACCAGGTTTCATTATGTGACGGTGTCTTTTTACTGTGCCCCAGGTGTTATTTCTCCTTAGATGTATGTATTTTACTAATATTCAGGACCCATAACATGTTTTATTTCGGTATATTTGTTAAAAGTGCTTCTCATATTGAAGAGAGAATAACAACAAGGCAATTAGAAGGATAGAAACTGTTCCAGACAGATCTTTCAAATCTACCTTATAAAAATCTAAGGGAGTTATTCTTGTGTGCTGGTGTGTCTAATCGTATATGTTACCAGTGCACCCTCGTAAGTAGTAAAGCTATAAAATGTAGTATGAGGTAGATACTGTGCTAGGGTTCTATAACTGTGTAAGAAGAAGAACCTTAAGATCACTTTAGGGGTAACGTAAGATGAAATGAAGGAGCACGTATCTATGTATAAGTGTAATCCGCAGGCTGAACTTAGGCCCCCTGTTCCTGACTTTATAACATAGAACTTGATAACCCTGTCGTTGTCTCAGTCTTGTAGCCTCAGTCTGTTAGGAGGCTGGATTTTGGAACTAGGAAGCAGGTGAATTTCCTGATGGTGTTTTACAAAAGCAAAGTTGTAGTTAGTTAGCAAATACCCAGCAGCTCCAGTTTCTCAGAACTGAACATCTGGTGCTCAGAAACCTTACCCAAAGCATTGGTTCTCTTTGAACATCTCTCCCTGTAATAGGAAGTTAATAAAACTGTAGCACTTCATCCTACTCCCTTCATGGGGGCAATTTATGTCTCTCCTTTGAAGTAGATTAATCTCCTTTTAGAACAAGGTAGTTAAGATGTATTTTATGCATGTATAAGTTATATGAGTGCTATTATGCATGATGCATTCATGCATATATAATGAATATTTAACCAGAAACTGGGTGCTTTTTTGCAGAAAGCACATATATAAGGTAAACAAATTCTCACATTTTAAAATGACTTTCAAATTAATGAAATGTTTTTGAAAATTAATGCAAATTCATTTATAGTTCTAGGTGCTTGTATTTATGTATTAATTAAAGTTATATTGCAAAAATCTTTTTTTTTTCTAGGATTATGCCAAAGAGAGATATGGGATATCCTCTATGATACAATCACAAGAAAAACCAGGTTGGTATCTTCCTTCTAATTCTAGGAGAACAATTCATGAAGTTTAAAATAGGATCACCTGAGGCATTGCTCCAAAGGAATCACTTTGAAAAGTTTAAATGTCATTCATAACCCAATAGATACTACACACTCTATAAACATTGTCAGCTTGGAGTCCTAATCTACAAAAGAATATATTTCTAATTTTTATTATTCGAGATAGAGTTTTGTATGTTGGTATACTCAGGTGGCCCTGAACTCTTGAGTATAGCTAAGAAAGACCTTTTACTTCTGACTCTCTTCTCTCTTCCTCTGGGGGCTGATTTAGCCAGCGCGCACTACCACTCCAAACCAGATTTGTGTTTTCAAATCTATATTTCAGTCCCCTACCCCAGACAGTTTTTCTTTTTTTTCTATTTATTTATTTATTTATTTATTTATTTATTTATTTATTTATTTAAGATTTCTGTCTCTTCCCCACCGCCGCCTCCCATTTCCCTCCCCCTCCCCCAATCAAGTCCCCCTCCCACGTCAGCCCAAAGAGCAATCAGGGTTCCCTGCCCTGTGAGAAGTCCAAGGACCACCCACCTCCATCCAGGTCTAGTAAGGTGAGCATCCAAACTGCCTAGGCTCCCACAAAGCCAATACGTGCAGTAGGATCAAAAACCCATTGCCATTGTTCTTGAGTTCTCAGTAGTCCTTATTGTCCGCTATGTTCAGCCAGACCGGTTTTATCCCAGGCTTGACAGTTTTTCTTTGTAGACCAGGCTGTCCTCGAACTCATAAAGATCCATTTACCTCTGTCTCTTGAGTCCTGGGATTAAAGGTTTGCACCACTGCTGCCTGGCCAGATCCACCTTTTAAAACTTCAGACTGCTTTATCTTCTCTCTTTCACAGTGTGTCTTTCCTGGCTTTGCATTGTGGATGAAGAAGTTGGCTTGGTAGTACTACTGTCAGTAGACCTCCATGCTCTTTGCTTTTGACCTTGAGAACCATAGTGTTTTGCAAACACATTTTCTACAGCTGTATCTTTGCCTTATGAGACTAATATATTTAGAGGAGATAGATAGCATACATTTGTAGTTTGACTTTCAGAATGTCCTCAAAGGTATTATTCTCTATTGTTGTTTTTACTTAATACCCAAGCTTTTTTTTTTAATCAAATTAGTATATATTTAAAACAGTAAGAATGATTTCTGTGGCCAGGTGGCCAGGCGGTGGTAGCGCACACCATTAATCCCAGTGCTCAGGAGGCAGAGAAAGGTGGATTTCTGTGAGTTCAAAGCCGGCTTGGTCTACAGAGAAAGTTCAAGACAGCTAGGGCTATACAAAGAAACCCTGTCTCGAAAAACCAAAAAGAGAATGATTTGTGAATGTTATTTCATAGAACTATTTCTACATAATAGTGACTTTGTAACCTTTTCCTTTTGGGGAACTCTGGATAGATGTACGATTTTGGTTAATGTTAGGATACATAATGGTTAGAGTTTATCTACTGCCAGTGGTTCATATACCAACTATAGGAAATTGTATGAGCATCAAGCACAGTTAGATTAAAACAATGGTTCTCAACCTTCCTACTGCTGTGACCCTTTAATATAGGGTCCCTCATGTTGTAGAGAGCCCCAACCATAAAATTATTTTTGTTGCTACTTCATAACTGTAATTTTGCTACTGTTATTAATCATAATGTAAATATCTGAAATACAGAATAATTTGGTATGCAGCCCCTGTGAAAGGCTCATCCAACCCCAAAAGGTCCGTGACCCACAGATTGAGAACCACTGGATTAAAGACTAGTGCATCTTCAGTACTTTCTCTATCACTGCTTCCTTTATCACTGCCTCATTCTCTCCTATGAACCCATGCTTAGCAGGAAAGGTGGTAACTGCAGCCCTGTGCCTACACTACCTGAGGCTGGGACTTTCAAGAGACTCTCTCAGCATTTATATATTCTAATCATTTATATATTCTAATCTAGATTACTCATTGTCCTGGAGAATGACATATTTACAACATATGGCCATTTTCACAGCATGTACACAAATAATTCTGTTAGCTTTGGCCCAGACAGTTGAGCATATAGTTTATTTGGCCATTTAAAGACATTGAAATGTTCACATTGAAATGAAAGATTTGCAGTGTGCAACTTCTATGACTACAGTATAGACTGAATTAGGAGAATAAAAGAACATATTGTAGTTTAAGCAAGTGACAACAGTAACTTGCTTTAAGGTAGTGGCAAAAGTGGCAATGAAGATAGTAGAGAATCATATTTAGGAAGTGCAGTTCATAAAGGGGACATACTGCATACATAAAAACAAAGAAATTATTAAAGTAATACCAAGTTCTTAAGATAACTATCAGACAAATTATGACCATAAATCTGAATTTAAAATGGCTTTATTATGTATTACAGATAGAGTTTTGGTTCGAGTTAAAGACTTGACAGTAGAAAAGGCTGATGATGTTGTATGGGTCCGTGCACGAGTTCATACAAGTAGAGCAAAAGGTAAGATTGGCTCAGTGGTTATAGCTTTTTTGCTAAGTATATTAATTTTTTTAAAAAATTTTAGTGTAAAAAAAAATTTTAGTGTGAGTGTTTTGCCAGCATCTGTGTCTGTATGTAGATACGTATATGTATGAGTGCAGGTGATTGCAGAGTCAAGACAAGGGCATTATATCTCCTGGGGCTGGAGTTGCAGGCATTTGTGAGCTGCCTGATGTTGGTGCTGGGAATGGAACGTGAATCCTGTGAAAAAGCAGTACATACTCTGAACTGCTAATCCGTCTGTCTCTCCTGATCGTATAGTATGTTCCTAAAGTTGTAATTATTAGATAAGAGAATTAGATTGGAAGAAGAAAGCCAAATGTTGCATTATGGTAGTCACAGGCCACGTGTGGCTATTTAAAATTTAATAGCTTTAGCTGAGCAGTGGTTGCACAGGCCTTTCATCTTCGCATTCCAGGAGACAGGCAGGCAGATTTCTAAGTTTGAGGCCAACCTGGTCTTCAGAGAGAGTTCTAGAACAGCCAGAGCTACACACAGAAACCCTGTCTTGGGAGGAAGATTAACAGTTTTGTTGTACTAGTTGTATATTGAACCATATGAGTGCCCCTTTCCTTTTTGGACAGTGCTTTTGGAAGATACAGCATTAACATTAACAAAAATATTAGGATTGTTCAAATCTCAACTTTTATGGAATAATGGCTTTGACCTACTCGTCAGCATTTTCTAAAAATAGTAATGACATTTATATTTGTTACAACTTTGTAACTTCCTGCTTTTCAGATTTAATCATGCCTACAGGTATGTGAAGTGGACAGAATAGACATTGCTAATTCGCTGTATAAAAGAGGAAACTAAGGTTCTGAAGCTGCTTGTCTAGTCTCATAGTGATTGGTAGAATATGAACAGAATTGTAAAAGCTAAGATGTCTTTGTCTCTTCAGAAGAGTTTATTTAATGTGTCCCATGTTACAACATTTCTTAAAATTGTGTTTTAAAGTATTTTTTATTACAGATTAATATATTTAGTCTATTATTTGAAATTTTTTGACATTTTATACCCATGCCTCTTTCTACCATTAATTACTCTTAAAGAGTAAAGAATAATTAGTGGTAGTTTGTCTATTAAGAGTTTATATATTCTAATATCAAATTCTTAAGTAAGTGAATATTGGTGTTGGACTTTGAGAAGTATACTAATAGTTTTAAATTTCTAAATAATGTTGATTTGTATTGGTGAAAGTTTGGGCCATTTATTCTACTAAGAGACAACCACATTGTAATTTATTGTCTTTTTATAATTGGATGAGAGCCTACTGTTTGTTTTATCTCTTTTTAAAAATTAAATTGTTAAAGATTTATATAATGTGTGTATTTGTGTGGGTATGTGCACATGGGTACTGATTACAGGTATGAGCTATTATGTCTACTACTTTCTTTTTTATTTTTTTGGCTTGTTTGTTTTTTTCTTTGTAGGCAGGGTCTTTCCACGTAGTCCTAGCTACCTGGAACTTTATGTAGATTTGGCTGGCCTTCATCTCACAGAGATCAACCTACTTTGCTAAGATTGAAGACGTTCACCACTATACCTGGTGAATCTTTTATTTTATTAAGCTATGTGACATGAGTGCTGGAAACTGAACTCTGTTCTTCTGATAAAAACAAATGCTCCTAGCTGCTGAGCCATTTGTCCAGCCCCATGTTTGATTTAGCTAATGGAAAGATGGAAATGCATGCTTGTGTAAGCCTGGACCAAGACTTCAGACCTATTCTCCTCCCTGCTTTTAAAGATTTTCTCTTCCATGTCTCTTTGTTATTTATTTGGGGTTTTGTTGTTTTGTGGAGGTTTCTTTTCTTTCTAATTTTGTGTCTTTGGGTACAGGTGTCCTTGGAGGCCAGAAGCAATAGATCTCTAGCTAAAGAGTTATACATAGTTGTGAGTTGCCAGATTGGATGCTGGGAGTGGGACTCAGATTCTCTCATGACACATTCTCGACAACTGAGCCATCTTTCTAGTTTCTCTATTCAGACTTTAAATACATCAGTGAAGCTGAGAGTGGTGGTGCACATCTGTAATCTCAGTAAAATAGGGATTTCAGTTTGAGGCCAGCCCGGTTATGTAGGTCTCAAAAAAAAGTTTGAGCCTTTTCCTGTGGGAGCAGCCGGGTTGAGAGGAGCATAGCCCTCTCCTCTCCCCGTAATGGCTTGTGCCCGTCCCCTCATGTCGGTGTACTCTGAAAACGGGGAGTCATCTTGCAAGAATGTCACTTTGCCATTCGACTGGATATTGTGAACTTTGTTCACCCCAGCTTGAGGAAAAACGACAGACAGCCCTAAGCCATCAGTGAATTAGTCTTGGGGTATTGGCAGAGCTGTGGCTCGAATTCCAAGAGTTGGAGGTGGTGGTGCTCATTGTTCTGGCCAGGGTGCCTTTGGAAATATGTGTCATGGAGGCCACATGTTTGCACCAACCAAAACCTGGCATCATTGGCACCACAAAGGGAACACAACTCAAAAGTGATAACACCATCTGTTCTCCCCTGGCTGCCTCAGCCTTACCAGCTTTGGTGATATCTAAAGGTCATTGAGGAAGTTCCTGAATTCCCTTTGGTAGTTGAAGATAAGGTTGAAGGTTACAAGAAAACCAAGGAGGCTGTTCAGCTGCTTAGGAAACTTAAAGCTTGGAACGACACAAGAAAGTTCTATGCCTCTCAGAATGAGAGCTGGCAAAGGCAAAATGAGAAACCACTGACATATCCAGCCCAGGGGGCCCTGCATCATCTATAATGAAGATAATGGTATCATCAAAGCCTTCAGAAACATCCCTGGTATTACTCTGCTTAATGTCAGCAAGCTGAACATTTTGAAACTTGCTCCTGGTGGGCATGTGGGACGTTTCTGCATTTGGAAGTGCTTTCCGGAAGTTAGATGAGTTGTATGGCACTTGGCTTAAGGCTGCTACCCTCAAGAGTAACTGTAACCTTCCCGTGCACAAGGTGATAAACACAGACCTTAGCAGAATCTTGAAAAGCCCAGAGATCCAAAGAGCCATCTGAGCACCAAGCAAGAAGATTCAGTGTAGAGTCTTGAAGAATCCCCTGAAGAACCTGAGAATCATGTTGAAGCTAAACCCTTATGCAAAGACTATGCACAGGAATACCATTCTTCACCAGGCCAGAAATCACAAATTCCGGGTGAAGAAACCGGAAGCAGCAGCTATAATAGGAGGCTGCATGTTTGTTTTCCGGTCACCCAGACTCCCAAAATAATCACACAGAAACTATACTATTTAAATCACGGCTTGGCCAATCACTTAAGCATATTACTAGCTAGCTCTTACATCTGGAATTAACCTATCTCTATTAATCTGTGTATCACCACATGACTAAATTACCGGGAAATTCCCAGCGGCAGCTACATGGCGTCTACTTTGCCTTTCTTTTCCAAGCATTCAATTTAGTTTTCCCTGCCTAGCTCTACTCTTTTGCCCTATCATAGGCTAAGACAGTTTTTTTTTATTAGCCAATGGTGTTCACAACATACAGAGGGGAATCCCACATCAAGTGGCTCTGGCTGCCAAATCAGAGAAGGAGACTGCAGACAAGAAGCCTGCAGAAAGTAAGAAAGAAAAGAAGCCTGTAGGACAAAAGGCTGCAGCTACCAAGAAACCAGCAGCTGAGGAAAAAAACAAACCGACTGAAGAAGAGAAAAAGCCTGCTGCTTAATCTATTAAAATCTTTCATTCCATAGAGCAAATAGAGACAGTCTATTTGAATAAAAACCTGATCAAAGATAAAAAAGTTTGAAATGATATATTATTGAAATTGTTGTAAGATAAACCTGATATTTTTTCTTTTATACTGTATAGCAGTATTTAATTTTTATACCATTTACAATGTTGTTAAAATTTATTTCTATGTATGTGTTTGTGCAAGTTTTGTCCGCTCCTGGCAGGCCAAAAGAAGGCATCGGGTGCTCCCCTCTATCACTGTGCCCTTGAAGTGGGATCTACACCTCAGCTAGGCTAGAAGCTGTTACAACCTAGTCATGCTTCTTTCCACAGTTTTTTTGGTTTTGTTTGTTTTTTTTTTTGTTTGTTTGGTTTTTCAAGACAGGGTTTCTCTGTAGCTTTGGAGCCTGTCCTGAAACTAGCCCTTGTAGGCCACGTTGGCCTCGAACTCACAGAAATCTGCCTTCCTCTGCCTCCTGAGTGCTAGGATTAAAGGCATGTGTCACCACCACCTTGTTCTTTTCATTATAAAAATAATGTAAGGAGTAAGTAGAAAATCAACCATAAATATTTCAAACTAATTTTCATGAACCTGAGTGTGAAGGGTGTATTTGAGTCAGTTTCATAATACTAGTTTTATAACCCACTCTTTAATCTTGCCATATCTGTGCATATAAGTATTCACTCAGTTATTGTGTTTTGTTTGTGGTGCTGGGACTCAAACTCAGGCATGCGTACACACACACATACCCATTGCTCTTATTTTTTTACTTTATACAGAAGGATAGTATAGGGTCGGGTGATGATGGCACATGCCTTTAATCCCAGCACTCAGGAGGCAGAGGCAGGCGGATTTTTGAGTTCAAAGCCACCCTGGTCTACAAGAACTAGTTCCAGGACAGGCTCCAAGGCTACAGAGAAAAACCCTGTCTCGGGGAGGGAAAAAAAAAAAGGATAGTATGTGCTGCTCCCGGTTTTCTTACTGTGTGTAGCTTTACAGAATGCTGAACTAAGCAAATCGTGACCTCACTGTCGCCACCAGAGTCAAAGAAAGAACATTTGTGTTTGTCAGCACTTGGCAAGAACTTGGTCTCATAAATACTGGTGGGGATGGCTTGAGTGAACCATTCTCTGTCAAGACACCAGTACTGACTTTCTGTTCTGGGTTCTCAGAATCCTTCTGAGCAGACTGTCTTTAAAGCTGTAGTATTTAGGAACACTAACAAAGAAAGCTTGGAGACTGTAGCTCTGGAGTTGCATGTAGGCCTGTTGAG